TTTGGTTTTGCTGTTAGCCTGATTTGGTTCTGTATGTTGTTTGTAGTTCTCATGCCAAGCTTTTGCTTGTTAGCTTTTGTTCTTCTTATGTTGCAGCTTGGTGTCCCCAAACTTTGGGGCTGATTTGTACATATTTTCTCATTTTATAAAAGCTTACCTTTAACTAAAAAAAAAAAAAAAAACATAAATTTCAATTTACATTGTTTCATCCATTATTTTTAAATAGATAATGATTTAAAGTCTGAAAGTCGGAAGTGCTAATTGATTTATGTAAGTAAGTGCTGACATCATTATGGTATCATTAAAATTTCTGATATTATGATAACATCAGCCCCTATTCACATAAAATTAGTCAGATGTATCCGATCATCGGACTCCCTATCATTACTTCAATTATTAAAATGAGAGCATAAATGTAGTGTAATCACACAAAACTTCAGTTATTTAATATCAGTGATGAGTTTCATGTTAACTTCTTACCAATAAGGATGTTCCTTTTTCTGCTTTACAATAGCTGAAGGCACTTATTCAGTGTGTTTGCAAAGACTGTACAAATTACAATGCCAGAAGACAAGGACTGTTTGTCTCTCTGAGAACATAATAAACAACATTAATTAACGAAGCTCCAATAAAATGATGAAAATTTAGGAGCAACATTAAATTAAGCTAACCAATGTTATCAGATTCCTACGGCATCAAGAAGTTGCGAGTGTTGAGCAACTGAAACAAGCGAGTTGGCAACAATGGCACCACTAGCAGCAATGCCGGGAAATGTAGAGTCACCACAGCAGTAAAGCTGTGAGATTGGCGTTGAATGTCCGGGAAATGTAGAGTCACCACAGCAGTAAAGCTGTGAGATTGGCGTTGAATGTCCGGGAAAAGTGTCTTTACCGGCTTGTATCGCTGGCCCATAAGTTCCGCTATTCCTTCGAAGAAACCTTTGATGCGTCATGGAGTTCCGACCAACTTCACCTCACACTTCTCACGATTGAAACCTGGACCTAGTGCACGCTCCACGGCCCTCCACATTACCTGGCTTATGAAGTAATTATAAGAAATGGTTTGTCTCGGGAAACTAATTAGACCAGACATTTTGACCAACAATAATCTTGTTTTAAATAATAGTGACAGAATAGATTTCTTGAGCTAGTTGGATGTAAATAAGTGAGGGAGCCAATAGGAAATATGAATATCGAAGTCAAGACTCATCCGGTAGTAGTTAAATTTATAAAATTATTAAATATTATTATTATTAACTCCCAAGTGATTTGCATGACTTATTTGAAAGAAAATCCACAGGATACATTGGTTAAATTGCATCGTACATGATAAAATCAAACCGTCTCCATTACTTTCATTCAACCATAGAAAAAAATTAATCTCCCCCACTCTAAACCCTAAACCCTAAAATCTAAAGCAGAAAGAAGAGGACAAAATCAAAAGAAAAAGGGCATCGAGTTTGGCACAGAAACTAAATTCAACAACTTGTGCATTAACGCTGAAATGACAAAATAAAGCAAGATGATTCAATAATTTACTGTAGCTACTTATTGGTTCTGTTAATTCACCACCAAACTTACTGTAGCTACTTATTGGTTCTGTTTCCTTAAAGCAAGATGATTCAATAATTTTAATCATTACATAAGCTCCAACATATATTAGGATTTGATTTGTCATATAAAAGAAAGGACTAAGAGTGTAAGACACCTAACGTGACAATAAAGTTTGCCCAATATTTCTTCTTCTTAAACTTGATGAGTCAACTTGAAGTAACCTAGTTTAGTAGAAGGAACAAAGTTTTGAGATGCATAGTAAAAAAAAACCAATCTGCAAAAAGACATGTCAGCTTTGAACTTCTTAAAGCTCATATAAGTGTAACCAATTTCTTCTGTCAAATCAACTAAGTTTGAAGAAACCTGATCCAATAATCTCCACATTTTTTATTTCCCAGTTAGTTGTACTCGGTGCTTCTACGATCAAGTCCTTCCCAAAGTCCAAATGGTTCGGTTCCCGGTGTATAGGCATGTAAGGCATGTTTCCCAGGGGGTGCGAGACCGGGACTAAGTACACTAGGTACAGATATCAAAACAACATTCTGATCAGCATCAACTCCTCTCTCCCAATCATTCACAACTATGTGATGTATTCCCAGGTCCTCGCGTATACCCTATTCAATAAGACAGTATCAAAGATTGTTATTTAGATATATGAAAAGAAAAACTGGAAAAAGTGGAGGATGAAACCTAGTTATAACATTACTAGCAGGAAAAAAAAGGCTTCACACGACAGCAAAAAAAGATTTCAGCAAGCAAACCAAAAATATTTTCCAAAGAATTATGATATTTTTTTTCCTAGTTAAAGAATTATGATATTGAATGTAAATTATAAATTCAATTTGCTAATTTAACAACAATATATAAGAAATCACCTTTCCCACAAAGTAATACAGTTTCACATTGTCCATCATATAAATATAAAAAAGAAACATCGGATTCATCTCATAAATGACCATTTCAGATATCCAGACCTACACCCTGGCTCTGATAAGTCAGAGTACGCAAAATCCTAGTCTAGACCTAGAGGGAGAGTGTATAGTTCTAAAAAAGACTAAGGTAACTACCTTTCACAGCAATTCAATTTTCAAGTAACTTCAACTACAATTTAAATCTCAACTAACAATCAAATGTATATAGAAAAAATAGTAGGGTGCAAAAAAGTAAAAGCATGCCGCTTATGAAAATAAAGAGTAAAAGCATGCCACTCAAAACACAAATTTTTACGTGATTGGATAAAAATCACAGGACAGTCCAAACAGATAAATCACTCATAGAAGAAAAAGGTAATTAGAACCCTAGGTATCAGATTCTAAACCCAAGAATCACCCCTCTTCGGACAACACTGCTGTCAATCTACTAACCAGTTCTTCACGTGATTTTTACGCTTCAGCTCGTGATTGATCTGCTCTATTAGTAGTCCAAACTTTAGATTGTATGGATTGTGTTGTGTTCAACTCCTTGAAGCACTTGGAATGTAGATGATAAACGCTAAGTAACATTATCATCTAAATGTTTTGATGATAAATGAAAGAAACAGAAGTTCTAGCAATTTGATTGCTATAATGAACACAAGATGCTTCAAGTATGCCTCTCTATGTTTGTATATGCGTTATATAATTTTCAAAAAGCATAGGGTCCTTTTCATAGACCTTTGAGACTGAAAAATATTAGGATTTTAAATGTTTGAATCTGTTTTTGGAAATTGCCTTCTGGAGCTTTCTATCAATCCAACTTCAGGTTCGATCAACCCACCTTCCTGCAAATTGGATGCTATAGATTTTTCGATTCAAAACAATTTTTATGCCTTCAAAACTTCTTTTTAAAGACCTCATGTTTATGACAAACCTAATCATGGTGATGAATGCATGAATATGAAACCCTAATTTGGTGAGTGCACAATAGAGAGTTGAATACGAGCAGGACAACAGCTAACAAGAATAAATATATCCAGAAGCATGCCACATGGAATCTATTGGTGACACCACTCAGCAACAAAACCAGAGAAATGTAGCCAACATGGTTCAGTCATTTGCAATGAAAACAAATAATTAACTACGTAAGGTAGTTAGAAGTCTAAATGGCCAACATTGAAGTGAAAACTGCAACCCACAAACAGTGCAATGGAAAAATAGAATTTGTGCATCTGACATCTAGCAGTTGAGGCATGATATTGTTGAATGGATATTGGGATTTGGAAACACTTTCCATAAATACGGAAGATCCTCCTTAGATTTCGAAGCATTCATTAACAGATTTGATGGAAAACGCATCTAAAATGATCAGTCAACTGAAAAAAACTATTTTCTAGTAAACCGAATTGATCTGAAATGATCAGTCAATAAATTAATAGGCTGGAACTTAGGTGTTCGTATTGGTCTGGATTGGGTTAAAGCCGAATTGATCTTGTTCTAGACGCTGCCGAATTTGGCTCCGTAATTAATAATCTACAAATATATTTTTCTAGGTAATCATAAATAATTAAACACAATTGTCTGTTTATATATTTGTGTGTCCTGAATTACTCTCAATAAAGGACTATTATTGGTCTGAATTAACTTAGTCCAGATGTTATTGGTTCGAATTAACTCAATTTGCGATAGGTTGTAGCCCCATTAGGTCTATAAATGAGTTCGACTACAACCCCGGCGGGGCATGGATTGAAGTTAAAGCCCAATAACCTGATTTTACTTCAACCTATGGCCTGGGCCTCTGTGTGATAAATTTTAATGGATTGAAGTTAAAGCCCAATAAATGATACTTGGTAGTAGTATTATATATAGTTCAATATATTACTATATACGTATGGTCCACAGAGTAGTTTAAGCCCAATAGGCTTGGTCCTGAGCCACAAAATCTTAATAGCTTTAGATTCTATTAATCAATTAATTGGTTAACTCTCTTCTATCAATAGTCAGTACTCATTAGAGTTATGGTGTGGTTAAAAGAATAAGACCGATATCTAATTAACTTTTGAAGGAGACTAATGCAAAATGCATTCAAAATGGTAAGACTCACATTTTTTATGAATTTAAAGTCTTCGATAAATTAAATTCTAAATGTTTTAAATGACAGGAAAGCAAGTGGACAAATAAAGTCAATAATTAGTAACTACAAATAAGAAGATTAAACTTTTAAAATGGAAATGCTATTGCGGATTGTGAACAATAAGAAACCCTTATCTTGAAATTGCTTTCTCAAGCTAGATTTGAAATTTTGTAGATATTCTTGCATTTTGCTACAAATAAATTTTTTAACTTTCAGTTAAATATCTTTAACAATCATTGATTATGTAATTCAATTAATGCAAGATTTTACAATAGTTAACATGCTGCATGAATATATTTGAGTGGTAATGGCTAAACTAAACATGAAATTTATTGTGTGTGTGTGTGTGTATATTTCATTTTCATTTAACTTCTTGATTCATTGCAAGTATAACATCGTTTGTTTTCATTTTTTTGGTTCCCCTTCCTATTCCCATTGCTATATATTGGTATGAGTCAATTTTTATCCAATAAATCATTATTATCTCTTGTTTGCATTTTCATTAATTCCTTACTTCGTTTAAGCTGACAAGAAGTTTGCAATTTGTAGGTATGAGTCAAATTTTATTTAAGAAATTGTTAAAGATATTGAAAACAAATTGAATCACAAAGTATTGAGTGTTTGTTCATATCCAGTTGGATTAGATATTCGTATAAAAAACATTAATTTGTGGTTGCAAGATGGATCAAACGAAGTCGGGATAGTGGCAATCTTTGGGATGCATGGAATAAGGAAGACAACCATTGCAAAAACTGTGTATAACTTGACTTTTGACAGATTTGAAGGTAGCAATTTTCTTGCAAATGTAAGAGAAACATCAAAAGAACCATGTGGTCTTCTCCGCTTACAAAGACAACTTCTTTCAGATATCTTAAAGCGGAAAGAAACAAAAATTAGCACTGTTGATGAAGGAATCATAAAGATAAGAGAAGCTATTTGCTGCAAAAGAATTTTACTTGTTCTTGATGATGTGGAAAACCGAGACCAATTAAATGCAGTACTCGCAATGAGGAGTGGGTTTCAACGAGGAAGTAAAATTATCATAACAACTACAAATGAACAATTGTTAAATGAACAATTGTTGAAGGCACATGAAATGCACAAGCGGTATAGAGTTGAAGGTTTAACTCATGATGAATCATTTCAACTCTTTAGCTGGCATGCCTTTGGACAAGGCCACCCCATTGAAGGATATATGGAGCACACAAAAAAGGTTGTAGAGTACTGCAGTGGGCATCCTTTAGCTCTTCAAATTTTGGGTTCTTCTCTATGTGGGAGAAGTGTAGATGTGTGGGAAAGTGCAATAAAGAAACTGGAAGCAATTCCTGACTGCCAGATCCTAAAAAAGCTCAAAATAAGCTTTGATTCTTTACAAGATGACCATGATAAAAATTTATTTCTTGACATTTCTTGTTTCTTTGTTAGAATGGACAAAGATTTCATAATTACAATATTAGAGGAATGTGATTTTTGCATAGAGGTTGGGATTCAAAATCTCATCGATAGATGTCTCTTAACAATTGACAAACAAAACAAGTTGACAATGCCTCAGTTGATTCAAGATATGGGAAGAGAGATTGTACGCAAAGAATCACCTAAGGAACTTGGGGAGCGTAGCAGAGTGTGGCACCATAAGGATGCCTTAAATGTATGAAGAGAAAAAACCGTAAGAAACATGCCCCTCATGTCTTTTTTATTTTTATTTTTTTAAATTTTTTTTACTAGTCTGTTAATTATCAACCTCTCTTATCAGGGCACGGAAAAGATTGAAGGCCTCAGCCTAAATTTGCACGTGTCTAGGCAAGATTGGCCTGCTCAGAATTTCTTTGGTTTAGATTATTCAAAAAGACGTCATTCTGAAGATTTTCTTGACAAATTAACATTTCCTTGTGTAAGCAATTCATCAAAGCGCCGTCGTTTAGGTGTCTTCTCTTGGTGCCCAATGAATTTTGCCACGACAAAATCATTGTCCACATCAAAGGAAGTATACTTAAAAGCTGATGCATTTTCAAGGATGCACAAATTAAGAATACTCCATCTCAACAATGCATTTGTAACCGGAGATTACGAAGAATTTCCAAGGAAGTTGAGATGGTTGCGTTGGCGAGGGTTTCCTTTAAAATCGATACCCAATGAGTTCATTTTAGAGAGCCTAGTCGCTCTAGATATGCGAAATAGCTGTTTGAAACAAGTTTGGAAGGGAATCAAGGTATAATTCAAACTTATTCATCTTTTTCCTTTTCTAAAGGATTAATGTAAATATTCATTTTAATCAATTTCCTACTTTTTGACAACAGGTGCTCCCATCATTGAGAATCCTCGACCTTAGTCATTCCCATGGCCTTACAAATACGTCTAATTTCTCAGAAGTCCCAAATCTTGAGAGATTGCTTCTTAAAGATTGCATAAATTTGATCGAGGTTCACGAATCCATTGGGAAGTTAGAGAGACTTGTTCTGTTAAATCTAAAAAGGCTGCAAGAATCTTAGGAATCTTCCTAAAATTGATCAGCTAAAATCTCTTGAGAAACTCATCCTCTCTGGTTGCTCAAATCTTGACAAGTTGCCGAGAGAGCTATGCGAGATGGAATCTTTAAAGGTTCTTGACGCATATGGTGTTACAATAAAACAACTACCCAGCAGTGACATAGAATCATGGCATTCACGCTGGTTCTCTTGGGTTCCTAGGCCAAGAAAATCTTCAGAATCGATTAGTCGTTCACTGCTTTGCTCGCCACGCTCATTTGTAAGCTTGAATCTTGCAAACTGCAATTTGTCAAATGATGCCATTCCGAGGGATCTTGGGAGCCTGTCCCTGTTGAAGGAATTGAATCTAGGGGGAAATCCAATCAGTAGCCTTCCAGAGAGCATCAGGGGACTTGCCATGCGCAACTCACTTGAATGAGTAGGGTGTGAAAAACTCCAATTGCTTCCAGAGCTACCAATGAGCTTAGAATGGTTGGAGTTAGGCCATTGTACGTCACTGGAAATAATGATCAATCTACCAAAACTAAAGAGACGACCGTACGTGTATGCGTGGCAATGTGGCAAACTAGTAGAGGCTCAGAACTGGTTCAGGTTAGAACCCATTCAAAACATTGATGCAGAAATGATCAAGAATTTGGGATTGGTTGAGTTGGAATCCATAGGAAAGGTTGACATGAAATTTTACAATTACCTGACAGATACGCACAATATTGGTCCCATCCAGGTGCTCTCTCTCTCTCTCTCTCACTCTATATATATATATATATATATATATGTCTCTTGCTCTCTCCTATTGTAATTGAAGTTATGATGATTTCCATGGATCAGGCAGTGTATGAATGTGGAATAGTGAGCATATTTCATCCTGGAAATGAGGTTCCATGTTGGTTCAGCAAAAAGAGTAGAAAGTCCTCCATATGTTTCAATGTTCCTTCACTTCCTAATCTCAAGATCCGAGGCTTGAATGTATGCATTGTTTATGCGGATGATTACTCTTCCACCATGAATACCTATATTACCAGTCCATTTGCTATTGAAATCTTCAATAAGACGAAGGATGTGCAGTGGGTCTATTTCCCAGCGTGTGTAGGGATTCCAGAAGAAGGGGAAAATATGAAATGGTCAAGCCTTGGGAAGATTGGGAATCAGTTGGAAGTTGGTGATGAAGTGGTGGTTTCAGCTATGGGTGTCGGATATGAAGTAAAGGAGATAGGAGTGGACATTGTGTATGAAGAAGAGGAGAAGGATACCCAGCTTAATAACTATACTTCTTCTCCTGATTTATCACCATACCAGGTTTCCCAAGGTCGATACGACCTCCGCTATTATTATATACATCCGTTCTGGCTTATATCCTCTTCGTATGACTTCATATTTGGAGACACCTCTCAAGACATATATACTTTCTCTGCCATTATGGCGGTTATGCTCGCTTGACTTCGACACAAAAAAAAAAAAAAAAAAAAAAAAAAAAAAAAAAAAAAAAAATTATTATCAGCGTTGCAACTCAAACATATCGTCTCCTCTCCATGCGGATGATTACGGTATTTACAGGACGGAACCAGAATTCAGGACACAACTCTTTGCTTTTATATATATATATATATATATATATATAAAACCATGGGAGGTATGGTACTCTCGGAGTATTGTAGACTTTCACCTCTTCGCTTCGAGAATGATGAGATTTTATCATTGAACTAAAAGTCTTGTTATATTGTTGATTTAAAGTTGTTGCATACATTCACCATGCAAAATTGTTCCATTAAAGGAAGGATAAAGAATAACAGGAAAGGATCACGGTTCACTAATATTACTTTATTTTAATTGTGCAATCTAAGTTCCCCTGTTAATACTTTTTTTAAGAAATTCACGTACTCATTTGCGAGATAGAGAAGATGAATACCAATAGGTTGTGACCCTCACTAATAGTTCAGCTTTCTTATTTCATAAATCAGTTCAGTAATTAATTATAAATGAATTAAGCTCTTAAGTTAGTTTGATAAAGAAATTTGAATCTCACTTAAACAAATAAGTAATGCCACTAGCAATGAATCAAAATTTTAAGTCACAATAATCTCACTTATCACTTAATGCTAAACACTTTATTTTATTTTTTTTATATAAAAAGACATTTTTTTTTTTCAATTTACAAATACAACTTAAAATTTAGTTTTTAAAATTTTTCAGTTTTATCAAAAAAAAAAAACACTATTGTTTAACAATCCAATTCAACACTTTAGTTTTGAATATATTAAGTTATTCATTTAAATGTGTTTATAATAAAGTTTGCATATCACAATTTTTTTTTTTTTGGGAAAAAAAAAAAAAAAAAAGAGTGATACTGAATATGAGTTAAAAATTTAAGTGAGAGGACTTCATTTAAAACAAAATACTAAAAAAATCCTCAATTCAAAAATACCTCTTAAAACTTAAACTTAAAATTTTGTTACTAAAACTTTTAATAGTTTTATCATACAGCACCTAAGAAATTTCATTATAAAGATTCTTCCTACTTATTCACTTAAATTTTGACTCATTTAAGTGAAACTATGATTTTTTTTTTTTTTTTTTTTTTTTTTTTTTTTTTTAAAAAAAACACTCATACATGTTCAGCGTGCTTAACTTATATATTTAAACACATTTAGTTTTAAGTGTTGAATTAGTGACCTCTTTTAAAAATATCGTCCAAAAGATTGAGTTTTAAAATTTTGATATCAGGTAACTTACCAAATTCAAATCCAATCTTAGGCAGTGACTCCATGCATACTTAAACTACTTTTTCTTTGCATTAAACATAAATTTCAATCTACATTGTTTCATCCATTATTTTTAAATGGATAATGATTTAAAGTCCGAAAATCATCCATTATTTTTAAATGGATAATGATTTAAAGTCCGAAAATCAGAAGTGTTAATTGATTTATGTGAGTAAATGTTAACATCATCATGATATCATTAAAATTCCTGATATTATGATAACATCAGCCCCTATTCACATAAAAGTAGTCAGATGTATCCCATCGTCGGACTCTCTATCATTACTTCAATTAAAAAAAAATTTTGTTTTTTTGATAAGTATTACTTCAATTAAAATGAAAGCATAAATGTAGTGTAATTACGCAAAACTTCAGTTAGTTAATATCAGTGATGAGTTTCATGTTAACTTCTTACTAATAAGAATGTTCTTTTTTCTGCTTTACAATAGCTGAAGGCACTTTATTCAGTGTGTTTGAAAAGAATGTACAAATTACAATGCCAGACAAGGATTGTTTGTCTCTCTGAGAAAATAATAAACAACATTAATTAACGAAGCTCCAATAAAATGATGAAAATTTAGGAGCAACATTAAATTAAGCTAAGAAATGTCATCAGATTCCTACGGCATCAAGAAGTTGCGAGTGTTGAGAAACAGAAACAAGCGAGTTGGCAACAATGGCACCACTAGCGGCAACTGCCGGGACTCCAATGCCGGGAAATGTAGAGTCGCCACAACAGTAAAGCTGTGAGATTGGCGTTGAATGTCCGGGAAAAGTGTCTTTACCGGCTTGTATCGCTGGCCCATACGTTCCTCTATTCCTTCGAAGAAACCTTTGATGTGTCAATGGAGTTCCGACCAACTTCACCTCACACTTCTCGCGATTGAAACCTGGACCTAGTGCACGTTCCACAGCCCTCCACATTACCTGGCTTATGAAGTACTTGTAATTAGACCAGACATTTTGGCCAACAATAATCTTGTTTTGGATAATAGTGACAGAAACGATTTCTTGAGCTAGGTGGATGTAAATAAGTGAGGGAGCCAATAAGAAATATGAATATCGAAGTCAAGACTCATCCAGTAGTAGTTAAATTTATAAAATTATTAAATATTATTATTATTAACTCCCAAGTGATTTGCATAACTTATTTGAAAGAAAATCCACAGGATACATTGGTTAAATTGCATCGTACATGATAAAATCAAACCGTCTCCATTACTTTCATTCAACCATAGAAAAAAATTAATCTCCCCCACTCTAAACCCTAAACCCTAAAATCTAAAGGAGAAAGAAGAGGAGAAAATCAAAGGAAAAAGGGCATCGAGTTTGGCACAGAAACTAAATTCAACAACTTGTGCATTAACGCTGAAATGACAAAATAAAATTAAAGACAACAAAAAGACTATACATTGTTTCCTTAATATACCACCTAACTTACTGTAGCTACTTATTGGCTCTGTTTCCTTAAAGCAAGATGATTCAATAATTTTAATCATTACATAAGCTCCAACATATTAGTATTTGATTTGTCAAATAAAAGAAAGGACTAAGAGTGTAAGACACCTAACGTGACAATAAAGTTTGCCCAATATTTCTTGTTCTTAAACTTGATGAGTCAACTTGAAGTAACCTAGTTTAGTAGAACGAATAAAGTTTTGAGATGCATAGTAAAAAAACCAATCGGCAAAAAGACATGTCAGCTTTGAACTTCTTAAAGCTCATGTAAGTATAACCAATTTCTTCTGTCAAATCAACAAAGTTTGAAGAAACCTGATCCAATAATCTCCACATTTTTTAATTCCCGGTTTCTAATTGCTAAAAAAGTTGGGTAGCAAGTTGAATAAACTAACTGTATTATGCTAAGTTTCTCAATTTTCAAGTTTCTTAGTTTTATAGTTTAGCATGAATGACAACACAAGAAAGAACCAACTAGAAGAAATTGCCAGTAACTGTACCTCAGATCGCTTAGCTTTGAGTTCTTTGTACTCGGTGCTTCTACGATCAAGTCCTTCCCAAAGTCCAAATGGTTCAGTTCCCGGTGTATAGGCATGTAAGACATGTTTCCCACGGGGTGCAAGATCCGGACTAAGTACACTAGGTACAGATATCAAAACAACATTCTGATCAGCATCAACTCCTCTCTCCCAATCATTCACAACTATGTGATGTATTCCCAGGTCCTCGCGTATACCCTATTCAATCAGACAGTATCAAAGATAGTAATTTAGATATATGAAAAGATAAACTGGAAAAAGTGGAGGATGAAACCTAGTTATATTTTCCAAAGAATTATGATTTTTTTTTTTCCTAGTAAAAGAATTATGATATTGAATATAAATTATATATTCAATTTGCTAATTTAACAACAATATATAAGAAATCACCATTCCCACAAAGTAATTCAGTTTCACATTGTCCATCATATAAATATTAGAAAGAAACATCGGATTCATCTCATAAATGACCATTTCAGATATCCAGACCCACACCCTGGCTCTGATAAGTCAGAGTAGACAAAATCCCAGACTAGACCTAGAGGGAGAGTGTATAGTTCTTGAAAAAAAAAGTTAACTACCTTTCACAGCAATTTAATTTTCAAGTAACTTCAACTACAATTTAAATCTCAACTAACAATCAAATGTATGTAGAAAAAATAGTAGGGTGCAAAAAAGTAAAAGCATGCCGCTTATGAAAATAAAGAGTAAAAGCATGCCACACAAAACACAAATTTTTACGTGATTGGATAAAAATCACAGGACAGTCCAAACCGATAAATCACTTATAGAAGAAAAAGGTAATTAGAACCCTAGGTATCAGATTCTAAACCCAAGAATCACCCCTCTTCGGACAACACTGCTGTCAATCTACTAACCAGTTCTTCACGTGATTTTTACGCTTCAACTCATGATTGATCTCCTCTATTAGTTGTCCAAACTTTAGATTGTGTGGATTGTATTGTGTTCAACTCCTTGAAGCACTTGGAATGTAGATGATAAATGCTAAGTAACATTATCATCTAAATGTTTTGATGATAAATGAAAGAAACAGAAGTTCTAGCAATTTGATTGCTATAATGAACACAAGATGCTTCAAGTATGCCTCTCTATGTTTGTATATGCTTTATATAATTTTCGAAAAGCATAGGGTCCTTTTCATAGACCTTTGAGACTGAAAAATATTAGGATTTTAAATGTTTGAATCTGTTTTTGGAAATTGCCTTCTGGAGCTTTCTATCAATCCAACTTCAGGTTTGATCAACCGACCTTCCTGCAAATTGGATGCTATAGATTTTTCGATTCAAAACAATTTTTATGCCTTCAAAACTTCTTTTTAAAGACCTCATGTTTATGACAAACCTAATCGTGGTGATGAATGCATGAATATGAAACCCTAATTTGGTGAGTGCACAATAGAGAGTTGAATATGAGCAGGACAACCGCTAACAAGAATAAATATATCCAGAAGCATGTCACATGGAATCTATTGGTGACACCACTCAGCAACAAAACCAGAGAAATGTAGCCAACATGGTTCAGTCATTTGCAATGAAAACAAATAATTAACTACGTAAGGTAGTTAGAAGTCTAAATGGCCAACATTGTAGTGAAAACTGCAACCCACAAACAGTGCAATGGAAAAATAGAATTTGTGCATCTGACTTCTAGCAGTTGAGGCATGATATGGTTGAATGGATATTGGGATTTGGAAACACTTTCCATAAATACGGAAGATCCTCCTTAGATTTAGAAGCATTAATTAACAGATTTAATGGAAAAAGCATCTAAAATGATAGTCAACTAAAAAAAAAAACTAATTTCTAGTAAACCATTTGATGATGCCAACCGTCACAATAACTCACCTCTGCATCAAAGCCCAGGTGCAGATGCATGAATGATTCACATTGTGGGGTCGTTTTAATCCTGTCCTGATATGCCTTTGGCACGACTTCCTTAGGCAATAAACTCAATGTGTCCCACATAGATGCATTACTAACAACAGCCTTCTTAGCACGCACAAACTGCAGCAAAAATAGGTGTTTAATCAATTAATGGCAATTCAATCCATGACAGCGTTACGGTCTTTTTCTTATTGATTAACATTAACTCACTTTACCACTTCTTAGCTTCACACCTATAGCTCGACCATTTTCAACAACAATATTTTCCACATGACTCCTGAGAGAGATCTGTCCACCAAACTTCTGTATTCCGCGGACAAGAGCATCAACAACTGCCCCAGTTCCATGAAGAGGGTACTCCAGGCTGCAACCTGGCTTGTACCATTCTGCAAACATGTAAACCTGAAAAGATTGGAGAATGAAGCGATTATGTTATCAAGAAAAAAAGCACCATCAGAGTCATAACACTAACAGAATTAAAGACCATGGTAAAAATTATATGATATTATATTAGATAAATTTAAGAAATAAATAAGGGAGAACCTACTTTAGAGTTGTGGAGAACTTAAATGATTGTCAAATCCAGTTGGATTTCTCTTGAGCTTGAAAATTTCCTACTTAAAAGAGTATGCAAAACATTGCAAAATGCTTGTTAGACAGGGTTCACTGACAAGAATAAATCTTGGAGTAACAAAATCTCCCTAATGCAGGTAGGCTTCAATTTATCAGCTCTATATTAGCATGCCGCTGCGTTGGATCAGTTCTTTCATCCTTCCAAAGAAGGTCTATAATTACTCGATCAAAACTTTCAGAAGAGTTCGCTAGACAGGAAATTCCTCAAGTCCTTAGGGTGATAGATTGCCTGGAGCATATCTCTCTTCTTAAAAGAGTAGGTGGTCTTGGTCAGAAAATTTTAGAATTTAGCTACCCAGAATACAGCCTTAATCTCTAAGCATACATTGATGTTGCTTTCTCTGACAGGCAATTCCATTTGGATTGCTTAGGTCCAAAAATACTTGCTGAGGGACCGAGTTTCGGGGTTGTCAAACCCCCTGCTATATGCTCCTTGGGGTTGGAAGAAAATTCTTCAGTTGGTACAGGAATTTTAGGCCTTTCTTTAGCACAATATGATAGAGGAGATAACACTTTTATTGGTTTGATAACTGGCGTCCTACTGGCCCTTGCACTTGCTTATTACTAGAAGATCCATTCCTCAAGCTCCCTTTGTAGAAATGTTAAGGTCACTGAAATCCTGGTTGATAGTCACTGGCTCAGGCCTGATTCTAATTTAATCCCTCTTGCTTCAATTGCTCAATCTATAACTCCCTTCCCAAATTCTCACACCCCAGACCAAGTCTCATGGTCTCCCTACAATTCTAGCAAATTTTGTTCCAAACCAGCTTGGGAATCTATCAAATTTGGAGGCCCTGGTGTTCCTTCGCACCTCAATTCCTTAGGTTTCCTTAATTCTTTGATGGCTCTCAGATAGGAACTCTATACCACGGACAGGGCACAACTTTTCAAGCCCACTTCTTCTTCATTATGTTTGTTCTGTCAAGCCTCTCAAACTCATGCTCACTTCTTCTGCTATTGTCTCTTCTCCTTTGGAATCTGTTCTGCTATATGGAGAAGAACGGCATTTCAGCAACCTCCCTTGAGTGGCCTGAGATCATTCAGGATGCCTCTTTCAAGTGGAATGTGAATTAACATAACCAGAAGATCAATAAACTATCCCTTGCAGAATCAGTTCACTATATCTGGTAAGAGAGAACCTCAGATTGTTCAATCAATCCTCTACATCCGATGTCTTTATCCTGCAGGAAATTTCCTCTGCTATTAAATAAAAGTTCTATTACTTAAAATCCTCTTTAGTAGAGCTATTGTTCAAGCTTGGAATTGCCGCAGTCTGTTCCCTCATTGATTTTCTTCTATGTTTGCAGTTGGCTTATTTCTGGATCTTTGGTCCCTTTAGTATATTGGGCTGTCGCTAGCCACTACTTTTGGAATGATTACTTAATCTAGGACTTAGATCAGGAAGTAGTTGGTCCAGACACTTTATACCTTGTTCTCCTTTTGGTGATATTAACGTTGCTTTCTTCCTCTTGAGATTTCTTATATTTTCTAGCTATGTTTGAGCTTTCTCTTGTGTCTTCAAGGGATGTGGCCCTTGTAGCTTATATAATTTTTTGTTCCTTCTGAAAAAGAGAATCTTACTGAAAGAAATAAAAAACATATACTATCATGAAAGTTAGGTTACAATGACCAAAATTGTATTAATTTGCAACATGAAAATGGAGGTGTGCACTTCATTGAATCCAACAAATTGACCCACGTAAAGAATATTGTGCTCTGACCTCCTTTACAAATGATAAATACTAATGTGGGTAACGTGAGTTAGTAATTTTAGATGCCTAAAACTAGGGGAAAAAAAAAAAATTAGATGCTTAAAAATGATACATGGTAATGAACATGTTTGAGTCTTATCTGTAGACAACCAGATCAGGTGGATAAGTTGTTTACTGGTCCATGATTCCCAAAAAAGATAGTGTATTTCTTAGCAAAACTTGTAGGCATGAGTATTTAGAGCATATGGATAATATTGCACATTGCAAGTAATTTTATAATGTAGAACATCCAAAAAATATGGATAATATTGCACATTGCAAGTAATTTTATAATGTAGAACATCCAAAAAAAATTATCAATTGTCATATATTGTATAAAATGCTAATATGAGTGTTTTCTGTTGGATTAAGGGACCGTTACCTGAGATCATCTTGATTGTGATATAAATCTCTATAATACTAATTAGTTATACAAATCAATTTGATCCACACAAACCACAAAAGTAAATAGTAATAGCAAGGACACAAGAGTTTTTACGTGGATAATAAAATCACGAGACCTAGTCCAACCATAAACAATCCACTGTATGAGAAAAAGGTTACCACTAGGTTAACAGTTCGCACACTATAGAACTATTAGTGTATTTTTTTTGTTGTTGGTGAACTCTGTTCCAAAATATGTTTGCTACGGTGTGAACAAAATGTCTTGAATAGTTTACGACGGACACTTTGCAAAGGTTCATCTTTGAAGACTGAGTTATGGAGACAGAAGCTATTTCGAGCACATCTTTAAAAGACGCTCCATGATGCTAAATCATATTAGGCAAAGGTAAGTAAGTTCTTAGACCCCCATTGGTAGTTTCTTCAGTTTTACCATTTGTTTGGTGTTGCACCGGTGGGGCATTTGTTTGCACCTGTACAATGTCGTTCTGTTTCATATCAATTTAGGACAGACCACTATTACACCAGTAGGTGATTTGGTTACACCAGTTGAATAGGATTCTGAATGTACATTGTTTAAGTCCGGAACACTATTGCACCAGTTGGGGTTTTTAATGCACTAGTACCACCTGACAGGAAACCTTTCAAGAAATTAAGTTCAAGTTGAATTCTATTTCGAAGGTTACTCTTGATAACTATATAAACAAGGTTTTGCAGGATATTTAGGGTGTGAAAAATTTGCAGTGATTTCTGAATACACCTAGGATTTCAAAAACCTAGTTTTCCATGAATTTGAGAGGTTCCTTCATTCACAAGGAGATTCACGTTAACCCTTCAAATTACTTGTGATTTAGTTGAGAGTAAGAAGCTTCATTGTGATTGTTCAATATCAATTGCACTATCATTCTCCATTTAGTTCATTATTGGTTTTGTTGAAGGATTTAACTATTTGAGTTACACTCTTTCCAACAGCTTCAAGCTTTTAGAGTAGATGGTCGTTAACATGGTATCAGAGCAGGGTAGGTCCTGTGTTCAAACCTCACCATCACCCTGATTTAAAATTGAAACAAGTGTTGGACCAAAAGCAAGCCACACGTGAGGGGGTGTGTTGAAGGATTTAACTATTTGAGTTACACCCTTTCCAACAGCTTAAGCTTTTAGAGTAGATCGTTGTTAACAGGTTTTATATCATAGGAGCATTGGATCACTAAGAGAGCAGATTGTTCATGGAGCAATTGTGTTCAATTTGAGCAGCTCATTTGCTAGATTGTGGGAGTAAGTCTGAGGTCTGCAGTAACTGGGCTCGTGCAAATTCGAGTAGGAAACTAGTAGTGAGTCTAAGACGGTTGGCAACCAGGTCTTGCCAAAGGTGATCTCTGAATCAAAGCTAGTGCAACTTTTCTTAAATATAGTGGATTGCTTTGCTCTGGACTTTGGTCCCGTGGTATTTCCTCGCTGAGGTTTTTCACATAACAAAAAAATCAGGTGTATTATTTCCTTTACTTGGTTTAATTTACTGTTTGATTGAATTGCGTGTGATTGATTTGTTAATAAGTGTTAATTTAATCTAAAAATTCAACCAGTTACAAAGATAAGCAAGGAGACCTATTCACCCTCCTATGGATCTTAAGGAAGCACGAGATCATACCATCCCAACTATATACTTCCACAAAGTATAACTCTCCTGAACTCCTCCTAGTTACCTCTAGACACAAATTGTAGCCAAGTTCACACTCAAAATCTTCAGGTCCTTGATCCGCTTTGTCAACAGACTTCACTCATGCAATCTACTTCTCCATCGTTGTTCAATCCTTTTACTCTATGCTTTAATCGGTTGAATTGCGCTATCTCACGTGCCTGATGATCTCCTTGTAGTTGATCACCCAATCACATATAATTATATATGAGGTAAACCCTAGGATTGAGAAGACAAGGATTCTCTTTCTAGACCCATGCTATATAGTAGGTAGGATCCCTTTAGAAATCTGATATGAGAGAATTACCAAAAATAGCTTCTGCACGGATCGATTGATTGACCAATAGACCAACACCTACTGAAATCCCATCAGCCGATCAATCCTTCGATCGAGGCTTACTGGAGTTCAACTAAAAAAAAAATCTGAAAAATTCGATTTATCCACCTGTCAATCGAGACTTGTTGGAGAGCACTCGATCGATCAACCTATTGATTCAACAAACAATGTTTTCCAATAAAAATATAAATTTAAAACCTGTCAGAGAAATCATAAAGTTAAAAAACTTATTTTCAAAAACACATCTAAATAAATATTTGGAACCTTCCTAAGACCGAATCTAGGTTACCTACGGTCTTTCTAAGGACTATTTATGTATGCCCTAGATATGTGATTGAGCATACAGATTTTATGCCGTGTTCTTTTTGAATAGGAAATTGTATATCTAACAATTTCATCAGCACATCTTCTACTTGTCATTCAATTACAGTAATATGAGTGTTTCTTTTTTCTCTTCATTTCTCTTGCCTTTTTAATGCCTATGGAAGTTATAATATTCATATGCAATAAGTTGCATAATCCTAAACAAAATACAACACAAGCTTTCACAGGAAAAGGAAGAATGTATTTTAAAGTTGGAAAGAAATAAGAATATATAAAAGAAATATAGAAGTTACCATCTCTGCTGATAGTACACCATCAGATTTCACCCCCGCGAGCAAGAAAGACAGAAGATCAATCCAATTTCGAATAAAAGGATCTTTTAGCTCTAATGAGTCAATGATTTCTGAGAAGGGTCTGAGAAGCTTTGTAGCACCAAGAGCTCCCTGAGGTCCCATCTGGGCGAAAGATTTCAGGAGGGAGGGGGCATATCTAGCTCCAGCAGTGGAAAGAACACCTATATCACCTCGGATAGATAGAGGAGGAAGAGCCATAGCAGCTACAGACAATGGAAGTATCGCGTCCTGTAGACGAGCGTATTTTAAATTTAACAGATAAAAAAAGGAGAGGCAATAATAGAGAACTATGTAGGAATGATCTACCAAATCACATACACTAACATGATTTTTCCAAGCACTTTTAAGCTACTGTTCAGTCTGCCAGTCAATGTTCTGTACTTTGTCATATTTTAATTAGTTCTGTATTTTAAATTTAACAGATAAAAAAAGGAGAGGTAACAATAGACAGATTGATTATTTATATACTATTATTGTTTTTTTTTTATGATTGACAACCTTAAACAGAAGTAGAAGAAAGATTTTGGCTCATTTGACAGTTTACAAAAAGAGAAAAAAGTTGCATTATTTACTATATTTAAAAAATGAAAAAAAATAAAAATATATGTCTCCATAATGATGGATACACATTGAAAAAATTGTAATGAAGAAGAGAATAAATATGATACTTACAAGAAGTTTTCTCCATTCTTTCACAGCATTCGGACTTGCATACTTCCGAAGATCCTGAAGAATTGATAAGTTATATTGAGTAGTTCACTTAAAAAGGATCACGGGGTGCAATTTTGAAGGTTGAGAAGAATATATATAACTTGCACGCTTCTCTAGGTCCTAAAGAATGACTAAAATCATATTGAGTAGTTTGCTTAGCTTAACAAGGTCCAAGGGATGAAATCTTGAAGGCAATACATACATACATATATACACTTATATATGATAAGCATGCAATTACATTTCAAATTTTCTTTGCTCTTCTTTGATATTCTGCCTTTCTTAAGGTCCTAGTGTTTTTTGGTTCATATAACTGGATGAAAATTTTAATAAGGTGTTCTTTGTCACACATTTTTTACCCGGTTAAGTTGTATGTCAGTATGAAAATTAGTGCTCTCACTATTTTTTTCTAATACATATTTATTTCGATATACTGAATCTCCATAAAAGAAAGCTCTACAGGTAGAGTCCTGTGTTGGTCTGTGTGAGCTACTATTTGGGTGACATTCTCAGTTATTGCCATTTAATGCCAGGAGGTTTAATCCCTTCCCCTGTTTTCAGTTAATGCAATTGCTCAAAAAGGTTTAAAAGGGCATTTCTGTATTTTTGGTCCATAGTCTCCTTTGGTAGTAATCCCATTTCAGATCTTAAACTGGTCAGGGACTCCATGGTAAATTCCATATTTGGCTTTACACATTTTAGTCCCTGTTAACCTTTCTTAGTTACATTTATTTAAAGGGCTTTTTCGTAATATTTGCTGTGGCATTATAAAGGTGCATTTTGGTCTCTCTTAATCTAACAGACACTTTCTTCTCTTTTTGAACCCTACCGGTTATCAGATATACACACACACACACACACAGAGGTATATACATCAGTCAGTTTTTTCACTTTTGAATTTTGGCCGTGCCATGAAGTGAAATTGTATTGTATGTTAGTTTGAAGAGAGGGAACAAAAATTGAGTGTGAAAAAGAAAAACATATATTGAGACTCCATTGAATCAACGATAAATAATCATTCTTGTCTCTTGAACTAAGCTCATGTGCCCTTAACAAAGTTAATCTGAGAACTGCAATCTTATCTATTTGTTAGAGATTCAACTAACTTTCAGAGCTCTGAAATTGCCATGCACTCTCTGCTACAACATTGAACTGATGCTCAAATTCAATTTGAAGGTTGCTGAGACTCCTCACTGTAAGTAAATAGACTCACCGATCTTATGCTCTTCTCATGCTTATTATCTTGTTTGTTTGAATCAATATTGAGAGTCAAGTGTTTATGTAAGGGCACATAAACAGGGGAGATACACATTTGTATTTGAGAGGAAATTGTGTGAGTGATTGAATTGTAAACACTGTGAGAATGGGTGTGTCATGGAATTCATTCCTACCCTCTTGATTCCAATGTCCTGCTACCTCATTAGAATCAACTTTCTAGTCAAGCCGGACCACAATACATGTTTGTTTTATAATTATAAAGTACTTCAACTTCTTTACGGTGGTTGTGTCAGCACCAACTAACATGTCAAAAACCAATAACCATGTTTGTGTCCTTTCCACAGGATTGTTAAACCAAGAATACTGCAGTTAGGTTCTTTAAAGTTTCATTCATACAAGTAATCAAGTCCAAAACTTGTTCCTTTTTTTTTGTAATAACTATATTTTATCAAATACAACCTTTTCCATTTTAAAGGTACAAAATAGGTGGGGTTTTAAACTTTAAGAGTAAGCCCCACAAGGTTAAGGGAAAAATCAATTAAATGTTTATGTTAGAAACATGAAACCAAAAATAACATTGATAATCCACCTTGAAAAATTCTGTAGGGCCAATGCGTGATAGGAATTCACCTTCAGGTATGTATACCATCCACGAGTCATAATTGGCACACACAATTGACTCGCCCAATGCATCCAGAACCTACAAATAATACAAATGTGGTAATTAAATTTCTGTTACATAGAACTACAGAAAAAATTCCCTGTAGATGACTTGCTGCACCATCAAGTAGAATTCATGCTAAATAAAGTAAAATCCATTAATTGTCCCCTTCTGAAGTCAACAAGAGGAATAGCACCACAATTGAATTCTAGATGTACTTAAAACAGAAGTAATACACTACCAAAACATGTCCTTATTCATCAAAAGGTGTTTAGCGGGAATAGACAGAAAATAATCGTATCATAAATGATATATCAAGTCATTGAATGACAACTTCCATCAATGACATAAAACCATTACTGCCCATTGCTGGTGGTTCATACCATGGGATTATTTGCTTATGAAATACATTGAAATGTACAGTCACCTGTGTGATAATTTATTTATTTATTTTTTCAAAAGGGTGGTGGCGATGGAGAGGCAGATAAAATATCATGAATAGTTAAGACTATGACAGGGCAATATCACTACTTGTGGGTCCAGAGTTATATCCCAGAGACAGGAGGTGATGGGTTTATTCAGCTCTCTAGCAATCTACAACCTTTTACAACTAGTTCTTTCATTTCCTTGCAAGCAGAATTGAAGCTACGTTAGGTATGCTGGAATGGAATAGAATGGAATGCCCATTCCAGCTTCTCATTCCCTTTCTCATGTTTGGTTAGGAATCCATTCCCGCAAAATGTTGGAATGACTATTCCTCTTCAAGAGTTAAGGAACCATTCCATCATAGACTCAAAATAAGATATACTAAGACAAAAACGCCCTCACCGAACGTGTGTATAATAAAAGTTATTATATTATTTTGTTATAACATAATATAGAAGATAATATTATAAAATATCTACTGCATAATAATTTATTAAAACTATATAAAATAAATTTAAAATATATAATAATTAATAAATATTTTGTGTAATAAATTATTTAAGCCATTATATAATATGTTATATATTAAAAATATTTATTATACCGTTTAATATATATAATAAAATATTACAAATAATACATAGCTTTAGTATATGATATATTAGATTAAAAAAACAAATAATGATGTATTTTATATTAAATTTTAATAAATTCTGAAAATATAATATGTTAAATAAATATTAAAATGCATGGCAAACACATATTTTACATTAAATAAATATAATATAAAATTATATGAATTGATTTATTATACTCTTCTCTATTCTGCATGTCATTTGTACTACAAAGCCTGAGTAGTGAGTGAATTCCTCTCCAAGCAAGTAAATATGCTGCCTAAAGTGAAATGATGCTGGTATCCTTTTGGTTTTATTTAGTTTATCCTTAGCTGCAGCAATGAATTACCAGATAAAATGCCATCACCATCAGTGGTAGAACCAGGATTTACTCCAATGGGGGAAACTCTTAAACAAAAACAATAAATACAAAAATCAGACACTGATTGATATCATTTTTATTTAATACATTTACAATTGTCCTCAACCAGTTTTTATTTTTTGAAAATGCTGCATGATAACTTCAATATTAGTGCCACTATGTAAGTATGTATATTTTTCTCAATATATACAATCAAGAAATCTATTGATGTTAAAAATTTTCTTCTTTTTTTTACATTTTTCTTTTTGCATAAAATTTTTATTTTGCAGAAAGAGCAAAATTGGGTAAGAAAAAGAGATTGGATATCATTTATCAGCAATGATTGTTGTCTAGATAGTTGCAATCTGGTCTGGTATCACCAATTCTGGCTGCTAAATTATTACAATTCTTTGGGACATCATTTATCTTCTGTAAACAACACAACCAAGCCCCAACAATTACCTAGAGCAAGAAACTTAAACGATGTAATCAAAAGTGAGTAATTAAAATAACAACTAAACAGATCAAGTCCTTACTCAAGCAATGCAACAAATTAGATGAGATAACATTTATTTATAAAGTAAGTCAAAATGAGAAGAACAAAGTACTTGTGCAAGAGGATTCGCCTGAGGACCTCTTGATTGAAATCCAGAGAACAAAGATGGACCAGAGTCGAATTTGTAGTCTTTGATTTCAAATGAGTGAGCAGCACCTCCAGGTACATCATGGCTTTCTAATACTAACACATCTTGTCCGTATCTAGCTAGAAGTCCCGCACAACACAGTCCAGCAATACCACTCCCAATTACAACAATGTCTGCCTCTGGTTTGCCTGCACATCATTCTTTGCGTTAAAAATGTTCCTATACAGTCCCTGGATGATGATAAGGATATTTTTAAGTTAGATTTTATGATAGCTTAAACTTCCAAATAATGTTCGTACTTTTAATGAAGCCTGAAGCTTGGACCAAATCAACTGGACTTTATCTTTTAGATTGTTTTATTTCCTTTAAGATTTTCAAATTTGTACCGGTTTATCTTTGAGATTCCAATATATCTGACCTGGTGGAACCATAAGTTACCACAACAGGTCAATAAAAAAAGGATAATACATATACATGCATATACATGCATACACATAAATTTTCAATTTAACCATTATGTTTCAATTCTTTCACGTGTTGACTGAATGGGATTTTCTAGCCGGAGTTCACTGGAAAATGACAGTAAACAAAACCACGGGACATTCCATTCAACAATTCCCCTAAATCCAAACAAGAGAACTCAGCTGTATATGAGTTCTTAGAAAATAAAATATAATCAGAAGATAACCAATAGTCCATAACTTACTTGACAAAAACGCATACCACCACGTACTTTTTAACGCATTTGAGGTATAAGAAAAGGGTGTACACTTGTTTAATTACCGAAACAGAGTGTCAGATCCACTGTAAATCTTACTGGTGTCCAACACCAAAATTGTTTTATAAGAAGTGTCCTACATAACATAGTTACTATTCTGATCAATATAATCAAAACTGATGAGAGAAGTAATAACTCACACATTTACAACTAATTTGGTATTGAAAAGCTAGTCATGGACCTTCAATTAATCTCTTTTTGTAGTGCAATACATTCCAAATATTTTTTTTGGTAAAGCATACATACCTACACACATTTGCTCCATCAGGACCCGAATTTCAACAATTTCAATTTTTAGGATAATAAAAAAATGTGGCCAGAATTTCAACAATTTCCCAAAATCGTTAGAAGAACAATGGCTTTTATTCTATTCTTTAAATAATTTTTTTAAAAAAATAAATAAATAAATTGTTTGAAGCCCTAAATGAAATATCCCTCAAATTATCAACATTACGGCTCTAAGCCTCAATCAGATAAATGAATTATGTACGTGATTTCACATCATTCAGACCCCCTTTCCCCATTGACCCAAAAAGGCCAAAAATAAATAAGATCTTATGTTACTATGTATCAACCCAAATGAAATATACTTATGTATATATAAAGATATATACTCATACATATATATATATATAGAGAGAGAGAGAGAGAGGACCTGGGAAGGATTTATTCAGTTCAGTTGTGGTTGTAGAAGAAGTAGAGGGGTAGCCGTTGGATGAGGAAGAGCGCGGCAAAAAAGGAGTGAGTTTTCTGGTTTGGGAATTGAAGTTGAAATTGGGAGCGAGAGATTGGGTTTGGAGAAAGTTTGGTGGTGAAACAGTAGTAGTACACAAAGCCATCGAAAATGCTATGCTATGATATGCTATTGAATTCCATATACAGAGTATGTTACCTACTGCTACGCACTGAGAATTCAAACCCTCTTCACAAGACAATCGAGTGTCTTTGTAGTTTGAAACTAGCCACGTTGGCTCAGTATATATAGCCACCGAAAAATTATCTCCATGCTACTTAAAAAAATAAAATTAAAAATTAAAAATTAAATAAATAAATAAATAAGAAAAGTACGGCATGAATACATAAAAAAATAATAATATAATAAATACTATTATTTATATAAATAATATATTTTTGTTATTTAATCCAGAGTATCATAAATAAATCAATAATTTAGAGTGTATAACTTGAAATTTGTTATTTTTGTTTTCTTAAATTTTATATATTTTTTTTAATAACTCATAATATATTTTAAATTTTATTGAATTATATATTTTTAAAATTATATAATCACAAAATCACCTGCTTATGCTTGTCATGTCAGACTAAAAATAAAATATTTACCATTTAAGATATTTCTTGCCATATCCGACATGTATTCAAATCGTATTTGTATATTCTATAAGTATTCATATTTCCTAAGTTGAATCTGACTGTTGGCATATAGTTTAACAATTGCCACATGTTATGAAAAATGACAAAAACGTTTAGTATCCTTCTTTAAAAACAATAGAAATATTTATTATTTTTTTGAAAATAGAAAGAAAAAATTCGAGATGGGTCTAAATGCAGTGATGGAGCTAAGAAATAAAATGGGAGGCGACTATCTTGAATAATAATAAAATAAAATATATTCAAATTAGCGTAATTAAAAAATTATTGTAACTTAATAGATATTTTTGTTTGGATAAAGCTTGTCTTAGGCATCATAAACAAGGCCCTTCTTTCTAATGTTAATATGAATCAATAACAACATGACATGTGTAAAAAAAAATTAAAAAATAAAACTTGAATCATTCGGATCATTTCATATGTCATTCAAAAAGGAAGAAGATTTTCTCTCACATGTGAGACCTGATAGTGGGCTCTCCCTCTCTTTAATTCACGATTCCTTTTCTTTTTCAGTCAAATCTCCATTGATGCCTACCATTTCCCCAATTTTGAAACTATAATGTTAATCATCTCTTCTGCCAACCGACCTCCACTACCTCCATTGCTTGCCCCCTCCTTCATTCCCAAACCTTAATCTTTTACATCCAATTTTTAGAGATGATTCAAGTCGACACATTCATTGTCTTCCATCTCTGTTGCAACCCAATCTCCAGAATGACTCAAGAGGTTGATCAATTAATAAATACATACGGCTCCAGTGGCATCCAAAATTTTAAGATTTATCACCACATGTTACAATATGAAACTAAATTAATTTCCTTAAAACTTCATTGATAATTGGAGTCTTACAATTATGGTTGATTTACCATATTTAGGCTAATTGTTTAGCTTCTTCGGTAACTGAGGAGGCCAGAAGTGACATGGGCCGGATATGACCCGCGAACATGGCATCCGGTCCGAGCAGATAGGTACAGCCCATAGAGAAATACTGCCATATGGGCCGAACGCGAATAGCCCATCAAAGATGACCAAAACTCACAGAGGAACGGGCCAGGATCTAGTAGTCCATTAGTGTTTGTAAGTATCTATAAATATGAGAAGTAATGGATGGATTTGGGGCATTCTGTTGAAGTGTAAGAGTTCTAGAGAGAGAAAATGAAAATGAATTTCTTGCATCTTCAATTGGCGCCGTCTGTGGGAATCGTTGAAGATTGATTGATCATTGATCAATATCGCGTGGATTCAGACCAATTCGTGAAGACGAAACTCGATCTTTGGGAGTTGGATCCAGATCTGAGCGATTGTGACCTATTCTGGAGGAATTTAGTTCCTGTTGCTTTGGCGGAAGTGGCTTTAGATCTACGCAACAACGAGTTGTTCGATTGTGGCCGGATTTGACGGATTTAGAATTCGGACAATTCAGATCTCGTCAACCGTAAGCATAATTCGGAGAATTCGAAACCAGATCTGAAAAATTCGCGCTCACAAAGCTCAGATCTACTCACGAACTTGAGATTAATGCCTTTACTCCGTTCAGGAATAATGATAGGTGAAAGCTCCAATTCGATGGAGGCTGTCCAGCAAACGAAGCTTGAGGAGTTGATGAGCTTGATCGAAGCTCTCAAAAAAGAGAATGCAGAATTGAAAGCTGGAATGCAGCATCAGCAAATACCCGCGGTTCCGCATCCACTTCCGGCCGGTGAAAGAGGTATTCAATCTAATATCGCACATCAAGGCGAGCAGGACGAGAACAATCAGTCAGCTCTCCACCGTGATGAAAGGAGGATGGACGATTTGCCGCCAAATGTTCGTCGAGTTGAGGATCACGAAGGATCGACTCACGTTGATCCGTGACATGAGCAGATCAGACAGAACGAAGCCATGACCTTCGATCCGCATCGGGAAAGGTTCAACCGAGAGGAAGTGATAGAGGTTGATCGCCGCCGAGCTGTATCGCCTTGGCAAAGAGAGCTCATTGAGGAACGGTCGTTCGATCCGTCTTACCGGCCCTCCATAGCTACAATCACTCATCGCGGTTCGGAGAGCAGATCTGTAGCTCATAGAGCTACCGCTGGGCTCCAGAGAGAGAATGAAGCACTCCGATCCACGGCTCGGACGGTTGATTCACCATTCACTAATGAGATCCTGAATGCTCCGCATCCAAGGAAGTTTGCTATGCCAGTTTTTATTTTGTTTGACGGAACAACCAATCCGATCGATCATGTGTACCATATCCAGTTGAAGATGGCCCTGAATACGGAGAACGACTCTTTAATGTGCAAATGTTTCCCTACAAGTCTAGCCCGGACCGGCGCTTAGCTGGTTCAAGAACTTGCCTAGGAGCTCCATTGATAGCTTCCGAAACCTGTGCGATCGGTTCATAAGCCAGTACTATGGGAACAAGCGTCCACCGAAGGACATCTCGAGCCTATTCACAATGAAACAGCACAAAGATGAACGTCTCCAGGCTTTTCTCACCAGGTTTAATCTCACTAAGAGTATGGTGATCGAATGCCACCCTTCTACAGCGGTTCAAGCCTTCAAGTTGGCCATGACACGTGGCACTCCGTTCCATACCAGTCTAGTAGTGAACACGCCGACGACTATGGATGAACTCAATGAAAGAGCCGATGGCTTTGTGCGCCTAGAAGAAGAGGAGGCAGCCAATGCTCGGACAGCGTCGGTCGTGTCGACCGAGGAAAAGTCCAAGGCAAAGATCAGGCAGAAGCAGGCTCAGCCGCAACATCAGACCTCCTGGAAGGCAGAAAAGAGGTCCAGGGAGGAAGAGCTGATCACTCCGTTGAAGGTCACTCTGGCGAGGCTATATCAGGAGAACAAAGATAAGTTTCATCCACCACTGCCAATTAGGCAACCCCTCGAACAGAGGGATCAAACTAAACATTGTGCTTTCCACTCCGATTTCGGCCATCAGACTAACGAATGCAGGAATTTGAGAAGACAAGTGGAGATGTTGATAGCTAGAGGGGAGTTCGTGAGTTATGTTCAAGGCTCGGCGATAGAGTAGAATCGACTGATGGAGCAAGTAAAAAGGAGTCAGAAACAAAGCTCCTATAATTCACAGCCAGTTCGTATAATCAATGCTATCCACGGTTGACCCGAGCCTAGCGAAGACTCAGATGAGCTACTCCGAACGCGCCTCCGGCAGGCGCAGATGAAGAAAAGGGTTAGCAGTGTGAATACTCTGCACCAACAGGTCGCATCGATACAGATAAAGTTTGACAGGACAGACCTGCAGCGTGTTCAAATCCCCCATGAAGACCCGTTGGTAGTCAGCTTAACAGTGGCGGACTGCCTGGTGCGCAGAGTTCTGATCGATCCCGGAAGTAGTGCGAATGTCATGCCGAGGGACACATTTGATCGGCTCGAGATTAAACCAAAGAGGCTTAAGCCCACTGGAAATCCCCTGTTAGGATTTGATGGTAAGAGGGTGGAGCCCATCGGAATGGTGGAAGTAAAAGTTCAAGCTGCAGAACGAGCGCTTATGGAAACTTTTGTGGTTGTGGAGATTCACCCCTCGTACAATCTCCTGATGGGAAGAGGATGGATTTACAGAGTCCAAGGTGTGCCCTCAACTCTGTATCAGGTCATGAGGTGCCTCGGACCCGATGGAAATAAGGTGATAGACATTCGTGGGGATCAGGTTGCAGCCAAAGAGTGTTATTCCGTCACACTAAAATATGCTGGGAAAGGGAAGGCGCCCGTCCGTTCGGCAAGCCCCAGATAGCAATTACAGGAACCTCCGCCCAAGCAGAATAGGGTGGAGGAGTCAGTTGACTTGACCGAAGAGCCCCTTCTGGATGTGCAGATCGATCAGTCCAAGCCAGAGCAAACTACCAGAGTAGGAGTAAGACTAACCAGGGAAGAGCAGCGGGAGCTAATTGACTTCTTGTCTCACAATGCCGATGTATTTGCATGGAGTCACCTAGATATGCCTAGAATTAATCCCTCCGTATCCTGTCATTCCTTGAATATCAATCCCAATTTCAAACCAATAAAGCAGAAGCAACGAAGATTTGCTCCAGAACGTAAACAGATCATAGCCGAGGAGATTGATAGGCTGCTCGATGCGGGATTCATCAGAGAAGTGCACTATCCTGATTGGTTGTCCAACGTCGTTGTCGTGTAGAAGAAGAATGGGAAATGGCGAGTATGCATTGATTTCACCAATTTGAACAAAGCCTGTCCAAAGGATAGCTTCCCGCTGCCTAAGATTGATCAAATGGTGGATGCCACCACCAGGTATGAGCGTTTAACCTTTCTGGACGCTTATTCAGGTTATAATCAGATCCCTATGGACCCGGCAGATGAAGAAAAAACTTCTTTTGTTACCGAGCGAGGGACATATTGTTACAAAGTTATACCTTTCGGACTGAAAAACGCGGGAGCAACTTATCAAAGACTTGTTCGCAAAATTTTCAAGGATCAAATAGGAAAGACTGTGGAAGCCTATATTGATGATATGGTGGTAAAGAGTAGGAAGAATGATGATCATCTGAAACATCTGCAAGATGTATTTGATGTGCTGAGGCGATATGGGATGAGGC